GCATTTGTCATAGTCTGCCTTGAACTTTACTAAGAATACACTGTCCCTTTGACTGGATTCTGAGCCCCCTGAGGGCAGAGCTGGCCTCCCATGCAGCACCATGCCTCAGCATCTAGTACAGCCGCGTGGAGCAAGTTCATCCCATTGCCACCCAGACCTGGACTCGGTGTCCAGCGTTTCACACTGTCATAGTGAATTCTCACTAACTCCTCAAGGTGGATATTACTTTGCTTCTTCAAAGATGAGGAAACAGAGGTTAAATAACTGGCTCAGAGTCACCAAGGCAAGTGGAGAAACTGAGATGCAGCCATTTCTGCTTAGCTCCAAAGCCCAGGCCTCCCACCGCACGCTACCAGCTCCGTAGCTACACAAGGTCAGACTCTGCTGTCCTGTCCACAGCCTGGCTCAGTGCCTCACACTGTGGCCCTCCGGGGGTCGCACACACCGACTCAGGGGGCTGTGTGGGAGGGGGCTCCTAAGAGCACGGACAGCAGGAGGCGGGGAGCTTGGGGGGTCACAACAACGGCTGCCTGCCCACGGAGGGTCCGGCATAGTGCCTCTCACACAGCTCCGCCATCACAACCCTGTAACTCTCAACAGCAGAGATCAAAGTGAGCACACAGTAACCTTTCAACAAAAAACAAAACAGACAAGGAGAGGCCTGATGCAATGATGAGATGCCGTCACTGCTTCTTCCCTGAGCTAAAGGATGTAGCGGAAACTTACCTGCAAAAAACAGGTGGGGGCTGGGAGAAGGGTGATAGGACCGGGATCCACAGAGGGGCAAGGATGGCAATGCCAGAATATTCCCGTCGGGAGGATCAAGAGGCCTCTTTGGGAGCCTGACTCACAAGGCAGGGCTGAGTGGGCCTGTTGAGGAGTCTCAGCAGTGTAGGCATCCATTCAATTCCTGACTCATCAGCCAAATCTCTCAGGGACTGATTTCCCCACTAGGCCACTACTGGCTCCCACCTCCCACCTCCTCCAGGCCCCACTCCCTGGTAGGTTTCAGCCTCAAACACCAGATTCTGGCTTTTAAATGTTCGGGAGCCAAGCCTGGAGGGCTCAGGGTTGTGTTTTCATCCCATCCAACTCCAGCCAGGAAATGATCACATGGAGGACAGCTCTGGGAGGTTGGTAAAAACACCAGGTTCCTTCGGCTTAAGTTGGTATTTACAAAAAGGAAACAATACCTGCGCTGCAGGGACCTCCTTTCTCTGAGCCGTGCTGACGGCCAGGTAGGCCACGCACAGGTAGGCCACAAGGCCCCTTGAGCCTCGCCTTCCGAGAAGCCCAGAGCCCCCCTTCAGTGTTGATGTCTCACGCCAGGTGCTAGGTCCTTACAGGCAAGAAGTGGGGTGTGTTTCTCCTTTTGTACTTGCAGGGCCTGGCTCCGTGTTCAGCAAAGGGGCTTGGTGAAGATGTGTGGAAGTCAGGCTCTGAAGCTCAGGGCCCCCCTCTCCACTCAAGACTCCCCAGCTCCCTTCTGATTCTCTAAAAAACTGTCTCATGGTATATGTGTTTTTATTGCGACCGACCTCAAATCCTTCTTGTAGGCAGGCAGGGAATAAATGAATAAATAAACAAATAAGTGAGCGACGGTCTCCCTCCTGCCTGAGGGTACTTGTGTAGGGCTTTGTCAGCGCTGCTTCCAGAAAATCCACCGGCGCAGATACAGAGCTAGGAAGCCACAGTTTGGGAGCTCAGCGGGTTCTTTTCTTTCTTTCTTTCTTTTTTTTTTTTAAACCTAGATAAGCCTGGGTGCCTAAAGTAAATTCCCCTTTGATTGGTATGTTTCATCAGTTGAACTCTAATTGGTGCAAACAGGTAATTTGGAGATTACAAGATTTATTCTTCTATAACAGTGATTACTGATTGCTAATGATAGTGCTGATTTTTAGGTGTTTAAAACCTTGACAGTTACAATACTCATGTGATTTACTACAGTGTCTCAGAGACAGCCTTCCCCGGATCCCCGAGGACAGAGGCTGTGTCCTCCGTGAGCCCTGCCCACTGCCCATGGCTGTGTGTGTGTGAATAAACATGTATTAATATTAATAATACTAAATACCACAGACTAGAAAGCATTCACCCAGAATCCTGAGTCACTCGATCTGCATGTAATTTCATGGATTTCAAAATGCACACCTTCTCTTACCAGTGCCGAGTTCAGTGGGGTATTAGGATCATTAGCTCGAGAAATGATTGGCCTTCAAGGCACATCGTAAAAGACAAAGTCATAAACTCTCCTCCCTGGTGTTTGGAGACATTCTGGTTTGGAAGCACTCAGAAGAGCGAGAACAACGAAGCAGTTGCTTTCCTGCCACCGCAGGGAAAGGAGTGAAACAAGGCAGCCCTGGCCTGAAGCCAGCCCGGGAGGCGGCGCCCGGCTCTCCCTGTGAGCCCATGTTCACGGGCCAGGCACTGGCATGTCCAAACACCAGTGTGTGAGGGAATGGAAAGTGGTAGTGCCCAGACAGGAAAGATGCCTCCACCCAGGGAGCCACGCATGCGGGGCACGGGCACGGCACACAATACACTCACCAGTAAGGAGAGCAGAGTGGATGTGATCAATTCAGGCCAATGGATTCAGAGACATCCACCACTACCGCTGGGTCAGACGCTGTACCCAGAACGTTACAGCAATCGCCCCCTCTTTGGTATCTATTTAATTTTCCTTTTGTGTTAAGGTCTTAAAATGAATGACAAAAACGCTGCCTCCCATGTCTTGCCACTCAGCCTCGCACGGGCAGCTCATAGGGCTGTGAGGCTGCACCTGCTCCACCAAATTCTCAGGCCAGGCCAGCTCAACACCACTGCCTCCCTGGTGCTCCTTCCCTCCCCCACCATGCCGGCTAGGGCTTCCCTTTGCTGAACACCCACAAACCTCTGGGGTGCCCTTCGTCTGAGCTGTGCCAGTTATCTGTACCTGGGCATCCTCACTAGCTGGCGAGCCCAAGCTCCGGAACACCAGGCTTGAGCGTCTCCTTCCCCCCTCAGCACGCATCCCTGTCCGTAACTTGTGTTACATTAGCTATTTTGCCTCCATCAAAAGCTTTCCTCTGGGTTTGTAGAATGTGATTGTAGAGCAGAAAAGGAGCACGAATTGAAGAAATCTATTCGACCTCTGCATTTCAGGGATGAACACACAAAGGCTGAGAGGAGAACAGTCTCCCAAGGACTCCCACTAATTGGTGACATGAGACACGAGGTGTTTTAGCTAGAAGGCCCTGAGGATTCCCTAGTCACCTCCAAGTGAAAAAGGCTCTAGACCTCATGCCCTCAGAAAAGAGCAGATCTTATGATCACACCCAACGTCTGAAGCCACCGTGGGTTTTCTGGCTGTTGTGGCCCTTTGGCACCCTATGTTTATTGTTGCAGTAAGAACCACCACACCCAGTTCTTGCATAGCACTTTATAATACTCAAGTGCTTTCAAATACATCATGTGGTCCTTGAAATGGAGTAATTATTTCATTTTTCCTAAGAGGAAACACTGGTGAAACGACTTGCCCAAGGTCTCACACTGCTATGAATATGCAGAAGAGCCGGGCCTCGAACTCAGGACTTTTGGTTTGCCCCAAAGCTACACCTCCAGCCCACTCCATGGAAACACAGTACCTGGAGCCACATGCTTTTAAGCAGATTCTACCTTTACCTTCTTCGTGTAACCCTAAAACATGTCCATCGTAGTCCCAGTCTGTTTTTGAAAGCCTCTGTTTTTGAAAGTCTGTTTTTGAAAGAGGCTGGACATGAGGCTTTCTGGGGTGTTGGTGAGAAAAAGAGGGCTATGGGCTACCAAGATGTCATCAGTACCTTGTCCCCTTGGACTGAATTCTAAACTGCCACAATATGCTTATTCAGGAAACATTGGGGAAAGTTCGCTCCCGCTTGGAAGCCCTCCTATTGCCATTCGAGGTGAAGTCACAACACCGCCCGTCTCCATTTGTGATAGGAGGGAAATGTGGAACATTTCACCCACTTCCCACAGGGGATCTCCCACCGCCTGACGGAGAAAGGAACAGGTCTATAAACTGAACTGATTCTGCTTGGCTCTTGTAGCTTTGCGACAAGGGGCAGCGTGCTTTTCAAGCAAAAAGAAGTAAATCCAGCTGCTACAGAGTGACTTTTGGCTCGAAACAACCCTGCTGTTTTCCTTAAAGTTTTCCACTAGATCGGCCACGTGGTCATCCCCTGGAGTCTTTTCTGAGATTCCATAGGCGCCAGCCAAAGTGCTCCCTGCACTGAGCAGGGGAGCGAGCAAGGGACCAGCTGGCTGCCCCTCCTCCTGTCTAGAGGGGGCCTCCCGTCCTAACTGCTCCATGCTCATGTAGGTGACTTTATTGTGCTCTATTTGATCATTGCATAAAGCTGAGGTCAGTCTTCCTCACATTCTCTCCCTAAAAAAACTTTGATATTAGCAAATGAAGTGTTTTCCGGAGAATATGACGGCAAAATCAATCATGACCACAAATCATTCTCAGGAAAGTTTCTTAGGTCATTGCTTCCTTTTAGTATTAAAATTCACAATTATATTTTGTCTCCCCACCACCCTTCCCCCATCAGGGAGGCTCTGATACAATCAGAAGCACCCCAACATGATTCTGAGCCATTCCCATTCACACGCACACCCAGAGTCTTGCTGAAATACGACATGAATCATCATTTCATGTTCATTATCAGCCATCTTCAGTGATCCCAAGGGCAACCTGGCCTCAAGGTCCCAAAGGTGTAAAGTCGGGATTTGCCAATTCCAAGAGAGAACCCAGTAGAACTTCGCAGATGAACACTGGGCACCAACCCAGTGATCTCATCTTCCAACTTTGCTGCTGTGTGGCCTTGGGTCTTTGGAGCTCAGCTGCCTGGAGCGTGTGCCAGCCTCTGCCCTCCTGGTGGCATGGAAGATTGAAGAGGGCAGTGGGCCAGGTGACTTCATGAGTCTCTGCCACCCCTGCTGTGGCTGCTCCCCTCTGTGACATCATCAGAGGGTAGGTGGGCCCCTGGAGCTTATTCCAGCTTGAGGGAAAGACTCTTCTTGGTGTGTCCTCCTGTTCTCCCTCTCCTCCTGCCCTCCTCCTTGCTAACGCCCACAGCCAGGGTGGGGGCAGTGACACCCACCCAGATGTCATTTCCCCAGAAGAAGCAGGCAAGGAGCCAGCAGCCCACAAGGGCACCTTGCGGTGTGTGGCATCTCTCGTGCCTTCGGGAAGAACAACCCTAGTGAGGACATGCCTTGGCGGGGAAGAGGAGGCTCTCACGTCGCAGATGTGGTATCTCTGTCAGCATCAAAGGCACCGCCAGACACAGGCCCCGAACGCCAGCCTCCACTAACAGTTGCGCCAAGCCCTGGAGGCCAAGATGAAGCCTTCCAATGCTCAGAGAACTCTCAACTAAAGCTGCCGACAGACGACCCTACTGAGGAGCTCATCCTGTGCCTGCTGGGGCTTGGGCTATGTACACATGCCCCCAGAGCATTTCTCCTGAGACCATGGGAGGAAGACAGGGTGTTATTCCTGCTCTGTCCCCTGAGAACAAAGGTACCCCCCAACCCCCTGCCCCGCCACACACACACACATACACAGACTATGATCTGCATGTGGCTTTGAGAGGACCAGGATGGCACTGGGTCTCCTCAGCCTGAGTCCACCCTTCCTGTCTCTACTCAGTGGGTGGCTCAACTCCAGCAGGAAGGTTCTGCTGACTGAGGTGTCTCGAAGGTGGCAAGGAGAGTCTCCATGATCCCTCTTGGGGCTGCCCTAACATTGTCACAAACTGGGTGACCTGGAACAACAGAAACTTATACTCTCACAGTTCTGGAGGCTGGATGTCAGGAATGAAGGTGTTGGCAGGGTCTGCTCCCTCTAGGGGCTCTCAGGAAGAGTCTTCCTTGCTGATTCCTCCTTGCTGGCTGCCATCTTCTGGTGGCCAGCATTCCTTGGCTTGTGGCTACTCCCTTCAATCTCTGCCTCTGTCATCACACTGGCTTCTCCCTGTGCTCACATGGCCTCCTTATAGGGATAGCAGTCATTAGATTTAGGCCATTCCCCATGGCCTCATGCTAATCGAGAAGTCTATCTGCAAAGACCTTATTTCCCAGTAAGTTCACATTCTGAGGTTCGAGGTGGACCTGAATTTTGGAATGACACTTCTCAATCCACCGGAGGTAACCTGGCTTGAGAAGCCTATGCTGGTTGCTGGTCTCTGTGCTCCCTACACCAAACCCAGCACCTCCATAATCTCAGGAGCCAGAGCCCCAGCCCAAGGGTGTGTCTGGGGGACAGTAACCTGGTGATCCCGACTCCTGAAACTAAGAACATGCCTTGCAGGCAGATTGCCATGTTGCCCCTGAAATGTCTTTATCATTTCTAAACATTTCCATACTCATGCTCTCATTCTATCTTCCCAACACCCTAGCCAGAGTGAGTTGGATAAACTTCAAACTACAGAAGAAACTGGAATTCACTATAAGTAACTTGATGGGTCGAGACCGAACTGGGATAGGATCATCACTCAGTGTGGTACGTGCTCAGTCGCCAACCAAGCCTGAGTTTGAGATGGGCAGAAGTCCCACCTAGCAGAGAAGTGTCACCACAAGCCTGGCATTACACCAATGTCCAAGCTACTCATTCAACACTCAATACTGAACCCATTTGGGTACCAGACCCTGGGGAGGTGAGGGTTCATAAGATACAGCCTCTGCTCTAAGGAGTTTCCAATTCATCCTGGAGACGAAGACCAGAACACTTGAATGAGCACATGTGGTAAAACGTTCTGCACGTTCTGATGGAAGACCTGGGGTGGGGGTGGGGGGTAAAGCGGGGACCAGAGAGCATGTGGTCGGTGTGACCACACAAGAGGGCAAGTAGGTTTCAAAGAGCAGATGGCACCTGAAGGCAGCTTTTACCAAAAAGTTGGTGATTCTAAATCACACACACACACACACAAAATCTCTGTAAGAATAGTATACAGACCATTGAAAATATGAATATGACCTTTCTATTAGATAACTATTATCAATGTTAAGTGTCCAGAATTTGGTTATAATACCATGAATATGTGAAAAAAAATCCAAGACGTCTTTTATTGAAGTATTTAAGAATAAAGAGTATTGGTGTCTACAATGTACTCTCAAATGATTAAGTAAATAAACATAACAAGATGAGTTTATATTGTGCCAAAAAAAAAAAGAAAAGAAAACCACACACACATAATGAGAAAGGAGACAGAAATAGATGTGGCAAAATGTGAACCATTGGTGATGCGAAGCAAAGGACATAGGCAGTCATGCTTGTATTGCAATTTTCCATGCATTTGGAATAGTTTTCAAAACCAACAGCTAAAAAAGATTAGGACTGACTAAGGACAGGAATGAGTCATTTAGGAAATAAATAGGACTGAAAAATTATCAGGTTGAGATGTGACTAAATATCCTTGCTCCCCGGCAAGAAAGGAAGATGAAATTGATAGAAAACACAAGTGGCAGCCACTGGGGAAAATGGAGGTACTTCATCTACAAAAATATTTGGAGTTCAACGTGTAGCCTGAAGGGAGAAGACATGGGGAGGAGCTATAAGGGGCAGTAAGAACAGACGAGCAAAAGCCAGACTCCTGGGTAGCCCGGGTGTTTGCTAGGTGGTACAGGTGGAATTGGAGCAAGAGCTGGTGAGATTAGCAAGGACGGATTAGGCAGAACCTGCCAGCCACAGCAAGGAGCTTAAAACCCCCTTGAGGACCAGTTGGGAGTCACAGAAGGGTGTCAACAGGGGAGTGTCTGATATTTCCCACACGTGGAGGGCGGCATCGTGTGAAGAGCGCGGTAGACCGAACGGGGATTGTATATGACAAGTGTTGCAAGTCACTTACCACATATTATAGGTAAAGACCAAAGAGGATTTACTAATATTTAAGAATGGCAGTGAATTTAAGGTTATGCTTCTACTAGCACCACGCTCACTCACTTGCATTCTAATTGCTTTATACATCAAGTATTTACACACGGAACAACAGGAAGTGTATCCCGCATGGGAATGTCAGCCCTCCCACATATCACCGTCCAGAAAAGGTTAGGAACTACTGAATTCTTAACCAGTAAGTGGGCAAAAGAACAAAAAATGTTCCAGCTGGAGCTATGCAAAAATCCAGGAAAGACATAGTAAGATTTTAAGAACCATGGTTTTCAAATGTTTAGCCACTGAATGTTCTTCAAACAATACGCAAGACATAAACAAACATGCAATTGCTCTGGCTGAAACGGGGAGGGGGGTCCCGAAGCCCACCTAATCCAATAACCCTTTTCTATTCCAACTTCAGAAGCCCCTGAAAGCATTAGAGTAAAAACCGATTGAAAGTCGCTGGCTTAGACAAAGTGGGAGAGGATAGAAATGAGAGTCTAGAAAGGAGGGGAGATGTGCAGAAAGTTAGGATCAGCTCACGAGGTGGTGGATGTGCAGAAAGAGTGCAAGCAGGAGAAACTTACCAGACTAGTTGTCAGAGTTCTAGGTTTCTGTTCTGAGGGCCTGGGAGGGAGATGATTGAGACAGGAGAAGCCGGTTTTGGATAGAAAAGGTTCCCACCTGCTGTGTCGCAAGTGCCTGTGGGACACACACCAAAAGGAACTCGGGAGAGAGGTCCCACCCCCAGAAGCAGCTCCCGGGTTCATCAGTGATTGGTGGTAACTGAAGTCCAGGCAATAAACCATCCAGGAAATAAAGCCCAACACATGGTATGTTAAGAGGGGAGGAAGAAATAGGATCAGATCCTGATTAATGCCAACAGGTAATAGAGAGGGAGGAAGATAAGCAGATACAAGATCCCTTGGGAATAAAGGAGGAGAGAGAAAAGGGGATGTAACCACACAGGGTTTCTACACTGACTTGGCACTGACCGTCAAAAGGGGAGAGAGCTGAGAACAGATTTCTTCGCTGCAACCAATTCAGAGAGAGTGACTTTCTCATTCATTTAATCCAGCCCATGCTTATAAGAGGAATGTAAGGGATTTAGAAATATTTGTTGAATGAATGAGTTAATGAATCTTTACGAACTATTTGGGGAAAGCATTACAATACTTTGAAGAGCTGAGCGGAACTATTGAGAGGGTCAGGGAAAACTTGAGGACCATCTGGAATGTTCCCCAAGGGAAGAAACACACCAAACTTTGTGTCGATGCCCACAAGACCACGTGATGTCCCGCAAGGGCTAGGAGGAGAAACGGAAAGAAAAGGGAGCCAGCCCAAGTGGGCCTCATGGGCCGGGAGCTCAGGTAGACAAACTATGTGGAATGGGGCCAAATTGCTAAGAGGAAATGGAAATTATTAGATGTGCTTAAGAAAACCTAAAGTAATAAAAATAGAAATTCTGGATTTGGGTTCTCACTGCATTATTAAAACTATATTTGAGAAGTGAGGCAGACAGCCCCGGAGGGAATAATGCCAAATCAACTGCACAGCAGCCTTGCCCCTAGAAACCAGGCTCTTGCACTCCGCCTCCTGACCCTATAAGCAAAATATAAGTGCCAGCAGCATTTCCTTCTTCCAAACAACCAGATAGAGTGGATGGGTATCAGACCATGGAGGGCAAAGTTCCCAAAAACCACAATGTGGAGAGCCCACTTACCTTGGCAGGTCCTCAAACACTCAACAGGGAGGGCACCCCTACCTGAGCCAAGCTCACCTGCTGGAAGGCATCAACTCCCCTCTTAGAGGATGGCGAATACAGAATAACAGAAATTCACACTTCACAGTTAGCTATGCAAAGCCCCAAATGTAAGAGTCATGCCAAAGCACACTCCTTCTGGGAAACAAAAAGGGGTTTTATTTTCCACAAAGGAACAAATGCTGACCAAGATCACAGCAGTTTTGGCCCCAGCTCTCCAATCCAAATAAGAGGTAAAAATAGAGGATAAGCAGCAGCTAAAAAAAAAATTGTTTTCTTCCACGATCATGACTACACGGAGCATCGCCGAGCATTCCTTTGGCGGCACCTCTTCCGAGACTTCTGGGCATCGTGCGTTGAAAGTTGTCTTTTCCAACACAACTTCCAAATGGTCTCAGCGTGAATCAGAGCATTCCGATCACACATTTCTTGGCTTCTTTTCAGTGTTTTATCACTCGGTTTTAAAAAGTGTTTTCCCACCCATTGGACGGGTAAGACCAAACTCTGATAGAGATGAGAACCGACAAAGGAACGTGACCTCGAAGCCCCAGAAGAATGGTAGTGCGTGGAGCTCATCATGAGAAGGAAAAAGCAGGAGGAAGAGGGACCAGCGCTCTCTCTGATCTAGTGAGTGCTTTTCTCCCCCCCTTTGTGTTGATTTGTACTTCCTCTGTTTTCTGCAAGGAACTGTTATTATTAATCCAACATTTAGTTAAAAAAAAACCCCAATATTTGCATTCAATAGTGGAAAATAAATGACAAAAAGTCAAATTAACAAGATCTAAACCCCAAAGTTTCTAGCCTGTTTAAAAAGTTTGTTTTAATATAATAAAATATAACATCCATTTACCCATTTTATTCATTTTTAAGTGTACAATTTAGTGGCATTCAGGACATTCCAAATCCCATGTGCCCACCAGCATCATCTGTTTTTAAACATTTTTCGTCATCCAAATGGACACTAACTTCCTCATCTTCCCAACTCTCTGCCTCTGGTAACCTCTGTGTTACTTTCTGTCTCTCTGAATTTGCCTGTCCTAAGTGCCTCGTGTACTTCTAGGTATGAATTATTTCATGGAGCACACTGATTTCAATGTTCATCCCCATTGTAGCATGTTTCAGAATGTCATCCCCTTTTAAAGCTGGTTATTATTACCTTCTATGTCTAGATCACACATACTGCCTGCTGATGGGCATTTGGGTTGGTTTCACCTTTTGTGAATAATGCTGCTGTAAACAGTGGTGTACAGGTATCTGTTTGAGTCCTCTCAATTCTTCTGAGCATATATACCTAGGAAGTGGAATTGTCAGATCGTATGATAATTCTGTGTTTGACTTTTTGAGGAATCACCATCCTGTCTTCCACTGAGGCTGTACCACTTTATATTTCCACCAGCAATGTGCCATTTTGTGATTTCTCTACATCCTTGTCAACACTTATTTTTCCATTTTTTACTTAGGTATAGCCATCCTAAAGGGTGTGAAGTGGAATCTCATTGTGGTTTTGATTTGCATTTTCCTAATGATGAATGGTATTTAGCATCTTTTTTTCCTTAGGCAGAAAAGTAAGAAATTTATTGTCAGATAAGGAGAAGGATGGGAAAGCTCTCTGAGCAGAGAGGGGTCCTGAGCAAGTAGCCCAATATTTGCAACTTTTCTCGTGCTTGTTGGTCATTTATGTCTTTTGTTTAGGGAAATGTCTATTCAATTCCTTTGTCCATTTTAAAATTAGATATTTCTTTTGCTGTTGAGTTCTAAGAATGCTTTATATGTTTTGTATATTAATCCCTTATCAGACACATGATTTGCAAATATTTTCTCCCACTCTGTGGTTCTTTTCACTCTCTTGAGAGTATCCTTTGCTACATACAAATTTTTAATTTTGATGAGTACCATTTATACCATTTTATCTAATTTTCCTTTTGTTACTATGCATTTACTGCTATACCCAACAGGTCATCACAAATCCAATGCTATGAAAGTTTTCTTCAAAAAGATGTATACTTTTAGTTCTACTATTTAGGTCTGTAACCTAATTAGAGTTAATTTTGTAAAGGGCATAAGGCAAGGGTCTAACTTCACTCGTTTGCATGTGAATATCCAGTTTTCCCAGATCCACTTGTTGAAAAGACTGTCCTTTCTCATTGGCTGATCGTGGTACCCATTCAGAAGTTTTATGTGCTTTTTATATTATGAAAGACAACAGATTTCAATGTACTCTGGCTAAATGTAGAAAATGAAATTTAAACCAACATTTAATACTTGTATACAGAGGAGGAGTAAAAGAACCCTATATTGATATAGTGCTTTGTGATGTGAAGCAGTAGTTTTGTATAAATAAGACAGCTCATGAGTTTGGGAGTCGGGCTGTCTGGGCTTGAATCCAGGCTCCACCTTACTAGCTGTATAACCTTGGGCAAGTCACTTAACCTTTCCAGGCTCCTGCTTCTGTAAGATGGGGCAATACTACCCACTTCATAGCATTGTTATAAGGACTACATGAGATGATTCTTATAAAGCACTTAGCACTTTTCCCAACACAGAGTTACTGTGGTACATGATGGCGACATTAGTGCCATTGCTGACATCTCATGGAATGGCTTCTATCCACTATTTTTATGATTCCCATTGTAGCCCCATGAGGTAAGCAGCCTCGTTACAGAGATAAGAGCATTATCTCACTGGGGCAACACAGCAAGGAAGAGGCAAAACAAAGTGTCTGTGTCACTCACCATGAAACAAGGCAGCTTGGGCGCAGACATCTGGTCCCTTAGAAGGTGCCTGTCGTTGCTCCTTCTGACATACAGAGGGTTTGCTGTTCTCTGCCTTGAATAAAAAGACAGAGGGTAATAGTTCTGTGCAGGGCGGGCTCAGAATCTGAGCAAGAACCAGGAGTGGATTCAGAAACCACAGTCTATCAGAATGCATTTTCATTAATTTAAAAAGCCTTTAATGTGAAATAGACAAATTCATGCATACCCCCTCCTGGCTAGGCAGAATAAAGCACTGGAGATGTAATAGCTACCCCAGACTTCAGAGGAGAGAAGCAGCTGGACTGCAGCTGGAGAGGAGATGGCCTTTTCAGCTCCTTTAGAAGATGGTTGCACATCCCTCTGAAAAGAAAGTTATTAGATACCTGCCATAGGCATGGTGTCCTGAAGATATAGAGATATAAAGATAGTACTCTTTGAGTAGTTCCCAAACAGGGGAAAATAGGAAACCAGAAAGAACTGCAACTTGACAATCTGCACTACTGTCCTAAGAGGTTCTAATGAAACTTCTATAACTCTGCACTATCAGCAAAGGCAAGTCCCTTCCGTTCATCCAAAACAATGTCTTGTTGGCTTAGCTACTCTTGATCAAAATCTTGCCTGGTGGATTTAGTCTCTCTGTACCAAGCCCTCAATATGCAAAATCCCTTCCAGATCTTCAGGCACTAAAGGGAAACACAGCTTTCCTGATGTAATAATGGGATTGATGGCAAGGCTATAAATTTATTTGGATTTATGATCTGGCTCTCTCCCTTACCTCCATCTGTGCCAAGCCATCCGGGGACGCTCCTGATTAATCATCCGTGGAGAAAGTACATTACTGCAAGGTGCATGTTCTCACTCAAATGCTTTCAACAAGACCCTTGTGCAGAGGCTTTTAGGAAAGGAGAGGCTCTGAGGGCATCGAATATTTGGCCTTTTCTGTACAGCACTGCTCTCTCCAGCTGGAATGGAAAGAAATGCTTTCAGGGTCAGAGAGAGTAGATGAGTTAAGCAGGCTTGACCGTCTAAGCGTTAGTGTGAGGCTGGACAGTTGTCAACCAGGCCACCTGAACAGTGACTCCACAATGGGATGTCTTGTCTGCCCTGTGAGTGTTTCAGCAGCCACCGGAAGCAGTGTGCTGTGGGAGAAGAGGCTGGCTGGAGAAAGATGGGTTCAAATTCTGATTCTGCCACATAAATTGTTTGTGAGCCTGAGCAAGGCCTCTGAGTTTCAGATTCCTTTTCTAACAAAGGAGAGAACTCTTACAGGGTGGTTGAGGTAGCAAGATTCTCAAGTGGCTCCAATGACTTCACCTCCCTGTGAGTGCACCCTGTACCTAGTGACAAATAGAATAGAGCAAGAGATGGGTTGTCACTTCTGAGATTATGTTACGCAACATGGCGGTTCCTATCTTGCTTGCCCCCACACCGCTCCCCACGCTCCTCCCAATCTCCCTTGCTGGGCACTGCCTTATGAAGCTGTCCTTGTGTTATAGGACAGGGAGAGGGGCAGCCCAAGCCCCGCAAACCTGCCTATTCTAAATGGGTTCTGCCATCCGCCGCATCAACACAAAACATAGGAGACTAATGGGAAGGATCTTTAATAAAACTAGGAAACAATACAGGTAAGGCAAAGAGTCTAGTTTCTAAATGAAGCACCCAAAGTTACCCGTCCCCTCGTGGGTAAAAGTCCATCCATATGGAATTGGCCCAGAGCAAGGCCCCAAAGCCTGCCACAAGTCTAAAGCATCTTCCAGTGGGGACCCACAGAAAATGGTCACAAACAACTGGACAAGCCCGGAAGGAAAAGAGCAAAATCAACATCCAGATAAAAGCTGCCATGGTCACCTCCCCACGGGTCTCACCCACATCTGTGTCACCCAGTCCACGACCAAAAGACAAGCGCAGTTTCTTCACGTGTCTCTAGGCTCCATGCGCCTCCTCCAGGTCCTCTGGCTCCATCCTGCTCCTTCCTTCCTCAGTCTCTTCTGCAGCTTCCCCTCTTCCTGCTCAGCTCCACCCTTCCTTGGGTGGGGCAGGGAACCTGGAACCTCCCCCTTTCCTGGGGACCACCCTGTTACACTTGTAGCAAGGAACATAGGGCAGCTTCAAGCCAACAGCCAGCATGGAACCAAGGCCCGGGATCTAACAGCCCACATGGAAGCGAATCACCCAGCACCCCTACAGATGATCTGGGAAGTAGATCTTCCCCCAAGTCTTACTGTGACACAGCCCAGATGACACTTGGCTGCAGCTGTGACACACCTGAGTCAGAGGGCCCAGGTAAATCAGCCACGTGCAGATTCCCAGCTCACAGAACTAAGAGATTATAAATGGTTATTGTTTAAAACCACTAAGTTTTGGGGGCCATTTGTTAGGCAGCAATAAATAACTAACAATGTTGTATTGAGTTATCAGGCACCATGTCCCGTAGCCAGTCCAGAAGCGATTGTTTATTCTCAGTAGGGGACGGGCTGACTGCTTTCCAGTACATTTGTAGAAAAGATGGTGGCACCAAGATTGAGGGGTGAGGGAGCGGAGTTGGCATTTCCCAGAAAATCATGAGCTAAGCAGAAACTAAAAAGAGAAATATAGCCAAATGTCAACTATTTTGTGACATGTGATCATCTCCCTTCTCCATAGTCCCAAAATATTTTATTTTTGCTGATGAGAGCACCAGCATGGCTGCCCGTGTGTATGTTGTCAGCCCCTCTCCCTCACCCTGTCCTCAGAGATAGGGGCTGTGCCCTCATCTTCCATGCCGTCCCCACGTCCAACGCCAGGCTTCGGGAATAATGATAATGAGTATAGCCCACAATTGTTCTTCCTTCCATTTTAACATTTTTACTGGTAAGGTTTTTCTTCCCATTCTTTTCCTATTGGAATCCTCCTTGGCCTTGTCTACACAGTTTTCCTGACTTCCAGGTCTTTTTTTCGATTTACTCTCTAAAATGCTTTCATTGAAAGTTTTGTCTCCCGAATCAGAACTCTCCTCTCTGGCTCTTTATTAAGAGTCTTTATTAGAATTAGCACGTTGGCGTCCGCTCTGCCTCTAGGTGGCAGCCTCCAGATCAGCAGGGGCATATCTGACTCACCCTTGTGAGTAACAGGATCCACCCCAAGTTTGTAAGTGGGTTCTCAGAACTAGTGACCAGAGGAATAAATTATTTCCAACAATTGTCTGAGATTTGAATCAACAAATCTCTGAGGACAACTCAAGAGGGGAAAAATTCAAAACACAGGTCACAAAACACATTTTCAAAGCCACAGGAAGCCACAATTTCTCTCCAACCCAACCAAGTCCGCAAAGCTTATGGGGTCCTGTGGGTTTACTTTCCCTACTGGCACCATCCCCAGAACAAACAACATGCAGCTGTTAACATTGCCCCTTCACTGAAAGGAAAGCCAGGTAAGAGGCGGCTGATAGACGTTGCTGGAAGCAATTCAAGAGGGCACAGTAAGCAAGCACACCTAAATTCACTGCCCACTGAGGTTCGGCCACACTCCCCGCCCCATCTCTCTCCCTGCTGCAACCTGCTGGGGGGCGACGCAAACGGTACACAGGACACTATGCTAAACAGGACACAAGCCTCTGGTGATGTCACAGTTCTCATAGCTTCCTTCTGGTGCAACAGGGCAAGGGCAGTCAAAAGTGCCACAAACAGGTGGGGAATTGGAGGGCCAGCATAGCAGCTTGGACAGCACAAGGCCATGATGAAGTTGAAGTGGGGAAATAGCTTCCAGCTCATACAGGGTGAGAGATGTCTGTCCCCTGGGGGCAAACTCACCGGAGATGGCCAAACCCAGGGCAGGGGAGGCCCGGGAGCCTCATTCCCCTGGGCTCCCAGTTCCTGCCTCTGGTTGTTCAAGGTCTGGCTTCACTGTGTCAGGTGCCCTCACCTCAAAGGTATTGGTCAGCATCCACCTCAGCTGGTGACTGGCCAGAATAACCTATGCAGCCTGGGGACTGGGCAGCACCCCCGGCTGGTGGGGACTGGGCAGTACTTGCTTCCCTGAACCATTCGTTGGGTAGTGCTACGCATGAGCAGGTCTGTGAGTTAGGCAAAGGCACTTGTCAAGGGGACCTGGGCCTGGAGAAAGGGTCAGGTAAGAGAGAAAAGATGCATCATCCTGTAGTTCACAGTGCTTAAGATATCATCGACCCAGATCCCCTCCTGTGAGGTAGGTGGGGTCAGCCCACTTCTACAGAGGTCATTAATCCTTTATCTTGAAGACATTTAGGGAGCATCTATTCTGGACCCAACTCTTGGGAAGTTTTGGGATATAAAGATGAATAAAATGTAGCTTTTTTTCTTGAAGAGTCAAACTCCCAGTGAGGAGAGTAGGACACAGCCTCGCTTATACTAGTAACAGCTCTTCTGCGAGCCAGGCCCTCTCCTGAGCGCTTCATGGGTGAGACTCACGTCATACATAATTCCATGGAACAAGCTACTCTCTTCTTCCAGGGTTACTCAGTCCCATGACTTAAAATAAATCTAGAAACTAAACCCATATCAGTTTTCTACGTGTGCTTACTAGAGAAGTGCCTCCAGTCTGTGCTTACTAGAGAAGTGAACACACAACGTTCACTCCTTAAACATCTACCATGGCTCCTAGGCCAGGTAACACACATGGCCTAAGGGGAACCAAGATGAAGAAGTCAAGAGGCAGCCCAGAGCTTCCACAGGCCAGTGGGAGTCAGATTCTGCAATGCCTTGCTTTAGAGCATCTGGTCCAACCCCTACCCATGAGACTATCTGACAGATGTAGAATCTGGGTTCTTGCCTGGCTGTTCCTCAGATCACAATGAGGCATCAGCCCTATGGGCATGGTTGCCATGTCACATGACTGCCACTTCCCTCGGGTCCACTGGTGAGCTGCTCCAGCACTTCCTAAAGGCACCAAAGGATAATGCATTGGGCTTCCAAACTCCACTAATTCCTTAAAGTTACACACAATCCCATATTCAAACTCGGAAATTAACTTTTACTTAGTGAATTTTAAAAACCACACTCTATCCACTGCAGGAAATTTGGAGGGTGGGAGAAACCAGAGGAGAAAATCAAAATCACCCATCACCCACCACCCAGAGGCAACCACTGTTCACTTCCTTCTGAGCCTTTCTATATACATTTTTAACACAGTTGAGATCATACTGTATAATCAATTTTGTATCTTGCTTTTCAGAAATGTGAATTTAAAAGTCAAGCACTCAAGAACCCCAGCTATCTCATCAACACTTCAGATGCCTCAGAAATGCATCGGAATTTTTTAAAAATTGATTCTCCAACTCTCTCCCTTCGCTTCTCTTCGGACCACGTGGGATTTGCAGCAGAGTACACACGATAGACACATCCCCTGAAGTGTAAGAGATTTGAATTGCACACAAGTTGGTGAATGAATGTCTAAATAATTAGGAGGTTAATTAATTTAAAATATAGGGGGATGAGAGAAATTGAAACTACGGATTCATCAGAAAGGTCTGCTAGCCTGTCTTGCTAATGAAAATAGAGAGAGGTGAGAGACTGGGGCAGCTGGAGAGGATAATAAATCACTCCAAGGGCCTCAGATTTCTCAGAACCTGTCAATTGGACCAAGCGGTGCTGGTGATCAAAAGGCCCCTGGTCTCTTGTATGGAAATGTCAGACAGGCCAGTTCACATCTGGGACTTTGACATTGATTAACTTTGTGACCTCAAGCCAATTAGTGTCTCTGAACCTTAGTCTTCTCATCTGCAAACAGGGATGATATTAATAGCGCCTACCTCATAGTGTTGTTGCAATTGTTCATTAAATCCATGTGTGAAAAACATTGCAAATACCAAGTAAGATTTTCGTAAATGTTAATTCTTACCAGCTGGAAAACTCTATGTTCTAGAGTAGTGTCTTTCTCACATGTTTTTGACTGTGACCAATAGTAAGAAATAGATTTTGCATCATCACCTAGACCATGCAAACATAAATGTTATGGTTATATATGTGTGTATAAATGTATATACAGCCAACCCTCTATGTCTATGTTCAACGAACCACGTATGCGTAAAATGTACTATGCAGTTAGGCCCACAATGATTGCATCCACTCTGAAAATGTACAGACTTTTTTTCCCTTGTCATTATTCCCTAAACAATACAGTATAACAAGTATTTACATAGCATTTACATTACATTTACATTACATTGTATTATGTATGATAAGTGATTTAGAGATGATTTAAAGTGTTCAGGAGGTTATATGCAAATACCACACCATTTTCATATAAGGAACTTGAGCACCCTTGGATTTGGGGGTGGAGGCATTCTAGAATCATGTATTTATGTATCATGTATGTATGATAGAACCATGTATGTATCCCACATATGGATGGATGGATGGATGATATATTTCATTAAATACTAGGTATCCTTATCCATGCAATGTAGTCACATTGATAGTTCTCATTCTCTTCTGTTTCATTTTTGCAAATGCTGGTCGCAATCCACTGAAGTCATTTCATGGCTCACTACTGGATCCCAACTGGCACTTTGAAAAAAGTGATCTAATGGAAAGCACATAGATTTTGGTGTTAAAAAGAACATTCTGGGATTAAATCTTGGTTCTGCCACTCACGACCTGTGTAAGTATAGGAACACTGTTTTATTTGCTTGTGTCATAGTCTCCTCATCTGTAAAATGAAGACGGGCCATCTCGCCAGCGTCCATGACATGCACAGCCCTTGGCCTGGTGGGGGCTCCCCAACTCGTAGCTTTGTGATTTATCTACTCTGCGATGCAGACAGGACACTGAGCGAAGCCGGCCCCCATTACCAATGCCTCAGGGACCTCCAAATGCAATTACCATGAAGCTTTGTCTCAGGGCTTGGTGTGGAAGCAGCTTCTGAGGTCTGTGATACCCTTGCTTAACAGCATGCTCCCAAGTTCTGCAATTTGGATTTGATTTTTTAAAGTACTTCCTTTATTTTAATTCAGACCCCAGGGACCTGGAAAGTACACCACTGCTTTTTCCCAATAAAAATCAGACCAGCAATAAGCATATTGCATTTGAAATAGTGAAGCTGGGCGCGCCTTCAAAGGACACCGCATTAGGACTTGGCTCACTCCCAGCCTGTGTTAGAAAGTCGATTTCCCTGGAGGAAGCTCGGCCACAGCCTCGCAGGCTGGTCTGCTGGAAGAAACCTGGGCTTGAACTAACTCTTTTACGAGTGGGCCAGTGAGACACTAAACTAAATGGAGAGAGTAACTGCCCAAGCGACAAGAACGGCAAGTCACACCCAACAACGCAGAGCCCATCCTGGGAATCCTGTTAGTGGGGATCGCCCAGCCCTCTTGGCCCCCGAGTTTAATCCTATGAGGCCTCTCCTTTGCCGAATGGCCTCAGTAATCAGAAGCATTTAATTGCTGGGAGGACACTACACTTACCAAACCAATGTCAATAGTGAAAAATTGAATACATACCCACCTAACTTTTACCAGGTCCATTCGCCTGCTTTACACATCTTCACTCATTTCACAGAGCTATGAGAATGATGATTATCATTATCCCCATTTTAAGGATTAAAAAAGTGGAGGCACGAGGGGATTAAGTGATTTGCCCAGGTGGGGTAGCTGGCTGCCACTGCCCCCTGGTGATGGAGTCAACAGCTGACCCTGATGCAGGCCCACCCCGAGCCAGGCGCTCACAACAACCTTTTGAGGGACACTTTACCAGCGTGCCCCTTTCCTCCCCAGTGCTCCACCTGTGTCCACAGCTGTCTCTTCTGAAGCTATAAGGGCAGAGAACCACATAGAACCCTTAGTCTCAGTCCGAAACAGCCTGAGAGGAGAAGGGTTTTGCATTCAGTGGTGCTCCCCTGAGTTAGAGAGAGGTTGCAGCTGTTGGTCCATTCATCAAACTTTATTTCTAAAGACTGCTCCATGCCAGATGCCTGGTTGAGCTCTGAGGACTCAAGGATGCCCTCCATCCCTGCCTCAAGTAGACCATGACTGAGGGATAGAGAGGCTGACGCTGGCTCCCACGGTTCAGCTCTTGCTGTGGGTCAAGCACAATGTTGGGGGCACCATAGGCAAGTTCATTGTCCCCTCCCATCACCACTAATCGAGGTTGGTATTATTACCCCTGATGTCAAAGGTACATGAAAACAGGATTCAGAGTTAGGTTGGCCTGACTCCAAAGCCTATATCCTCAACTACAAAATCTACCTAGTCCCCACCGCAGGGTGTATAACCAAGCTAAGTGGATAGTGTGTTTATTACATCCAGCCTCCCCACCCACTCTCCGTTATGAAATGGCTTGTATTGACTACACCCTTGGCTCCGGGTTGATTGGTCTGGACCATTCTGGATCACCTCATCTGCTTCCACTGTGATGGGTTCACACACTGGACGTAACCCAGTCAGCGCAGAACATGTACCAGTGCGCATGCACTAGCTCAGAGTGATACACAGTCGCCCCTTTGCATCCACAGGCTTCCCAACCCCTCGTTCAACCACCTGCAGGTCTAAGCTTTGTAGAATGCGGTGAGGCCCACGATTGTTGCCTCTGTAGTAAACCTGTACAGTCTTTTGGTTTTTATCAGTATTCCCTAAATAGTACAGTACGACAAGTATTTATGTAGCACAGTATTAGGTGTTGTAAGTAATCTAGAGATTTAAAGTTCACAGGGTCGGTGAACTAGTCGGTTACATGCAAAGACTAGACCATTTTATATAATGAATGTGAGTATCCTCTGGATTTGGTATCCATGGGGGCCCTGGAACCAGTCCCCAAGGACGTGGAGGGATGACTATAATCAGAGTAGCTCAGGCCGCTCTTCTGACCATTGTGGGAGGGCCGTTCTTTCTTCCCTTATAAATGCTAGAGAGAGAGAGCACGGGCCCTGCTTGCTCCTGGCAGCCATCTTGAAGTGAGGGAGAAAGCCAGCCTGGGGAGAGAGCCAGCGCTTGCAGGGGCACAGAGGTGACAGAACAGCTGAGCAGCAGAGGCAGGACCCTGAAAACGTGTCCAGAGCTGACACAACCTCCCTCTCAGTTTCCCATTTATGTGAGTCAAAGGATCCTCTTTAATGCTTAAGGTACTTACCTGCAAATGAGAACATCCTGACATATAAGGTGTTTGGGAGAAATTGAGATTTATGAAGCTCACAGTGATCATCCTAAACATCTCCCCTCTTCACAAGTAAATATGACAAAACTATCCCAAAATTCATAAATGCAACAAATATCTATATTTGGGCTAATAAAATCTCTTCATTCTCTAAAACACAACATAAATACAATTAAAGAGTATGCAACAAGCCAGAAAAAATATTTGCAACCCATTTGGCAATTAAAAAGTATATATCCATAAATTTGTATAAATTAATGAGAAAAATAAGTAGGACCTCTATAAAAAGAGAAATGAGCTAAGGACACAAGCAGGCGTTTCTTAACCCAGAAGAAAGCAACGTGGTCATAAACATAAATTTACACCGATCTCTGTGTGGACCTCAGGGAGGGGCCAGGAAGAGAGGAATAGTAGGACTGGGGCGGGGAGGGGCACGTGAGCTCACACTCCCTGTTCTGCTGGATTTATATAAATTGGTACCATCCCTCAGGGGGATAATTTAGCAATAAGAATCACAATTTTAAAAAGTGTGCATACCGAGTGATTCACCCACTTCTCTTCTTAAAATTTATTCTAAGGAAATAATTGAAATAGCGTGCAAACTTGTATGTTCAAGGATATTCACTGCATTTTTTGGGGTAATAATTAAAATCAGAAACAATCAAAATAAGCGGCAGTAGGTGACTGGTTAAATAAACTGCGAGAGTTCTATGTAATGGTGTTCCATGCAGTGACTTATAAAAACACTATAGATATGTGTTTAAAACAAATGATATGCTGATAGCTATAAAAGCAGTTAGCAAAAGAAAAAGATGTATCGATTATATACATATATATATGATATACATCTAGGTAGAAATGAAAAAAGATGTTTTATCTGTGAGCCTAACACTAGAAGCATCTAGACAACAGAAGATCTAAAATCTTTAGCCTTTTTATGATGACTTTGTAAACTCTCCTGTTGTGATAATGATGAGTTATTGTGGTGGCCAGGGCTGAGGTACAGTCTGTCACTGACAGTGGCCCCGGCACAGGCCATTCTGTGCAGTGAGAATCCCGTGTCAACATAAAGGTCACGTTCCCCTGCCGAAGGGTCTCCAGACACCGAGAGGAAAAGGGAATTCAGAAGGAAAAGGAGAGCAAGAGAAAAAAGCTTTTCAAAGAGCTTCAATTTCTCAAAAGTTGTAACCAGAAATCCTGATGGCAAATCCTGGTTCTACACCCAGTAATTTTGCCACAACCGTGTCTATAGATCAGGAAAGATTTCCTGGTAAATAAAAATGGAATATGCAATTTTATTATTACATAATGTTTTAAATATGGTCTGCTAATTCTGACTTTCAGTGTGAACACTCAAAAGGAAAATGCAGCTTTGCATTTACATCATTAAATATATAGGTTTTATGTAAGTTCTTTTTCCATTTTCAGATAAAAAAGAGACATTTCCAACAGATACAATCTGATGACATTTGTAATCCATACTTCAATCCTTTCGCAGGACATAATTATATTAGATAAAAAGTTTTTTACATATAATTATTTCCTACCACATACTACATACCATATCTTTCACCCTAATGTATTTTTCCATCATTGTGCTCCTTTGAAGTTAAGAATCTAAATCCCAGATATATTGTTAATGTAAAATAAGTCAAATTCTGGATCTTCTAGGAATCTAATCTGAGTGTGTGTGCAAAAATATTAGCAGTGGTTGGTTGTCTGTGGGTGGTTTAAATTATTTTGGATTATAGATGATCTAATTTTTTTTTCTTTTTTGACTTGCCAGCATTTTCCAGTGTTTTTTTTACACTAAGACTAGTTAATGTATTTTATTTATACCAGTATGTAAAATTCAATCAACAACCCCAGGTATTTAAGAGATGTTTTTTTCTTGATCTTCCCCAAACAAGTTTAATTCCTTCTTCCAGCCTCTATTTCTCTTAAAGGCAGAAGCCAAATCTTATTCAACTCAGGTGACTGGGGGTTTACAAGGCCAGTCATCAGCGGGCAGAGGTCTCTGATTCAGGTGTTCACATTCTACCCACACTGGTCATGTCTGCACACTCCTTGGCCAGATAGCACCCCCGCCCCAGGGCTGGCTCTCTCCCTGCTTCATCGCCCCACTCAGGCAGGAAGGTCCCTCTCTATGTCCTCGCACCCTCCAAAGTCAGCTCCGTCTGGACATGAGGCTGAAGCAAAGGGCAAGACACAGCATTCCTTAACCCCAGAATCATTCCACACCTTGCTTTTTTCTCTCTGTTCCACTCCCCTTCTGCCTCCACCCCCTTTCGGTCCAGCAGGTTTTATCAAGTTTGGGAGGAGTATGTTAGCATAAAAAAAAAAAAAACCTAACTGATCAATCATATATGCTTCTAAATCCTTCTTTGTTTTTGTAAGTATAACCTCAAAAATTTGACTCTTTTGTTCTCTGGTTAATGCTGTGTCCCATGTCCTATTACACATATACTTAGTAATTTCACTTAAATAAACAAGGAGCAACACAAAACAGTGGAGATCATTTTCACAACACTTTTCTCTTACACGATTAGTGTTAGTGTTATTATTGTAAAATAATAATGTGAGTGGTAA